GATTCTATGATTCTATATACTATAAGCCAATTTTTAATCACAAGCACTGAAACAATTACTCATAGTTCCTTAAGCAGCAAGGATGTGCTGATACAACATCAGTTCTGTGACATGTAATTCATGGAAATCCAGGACACATTTTCAAGCTTTTCCCCAAGTGTTTCTCTGAAACTTCCAATTAAGGGATATGTACTGTAATTATTTTAGTGCTGGAAATTCACTCATTTTTGCATGCTTACAAGTACTATTTACACACGTACACATAAACACAGACACATGCAAACACATCTTTTTCATAAGGAATATCCTACGTGTGCATCTAAAATATATAAAGGTACATGGGAAAGTAAGTTATACACACAAAAAAGGTCCAACCTATTCCATAGGGAAATATACATTATATATACGCACGTGTCTATGTGTGTACAAGAGAAAAGGTGAGGAGCAATGAGGCAATACATACCTTGACATGTATCAATCAGAACCTCTACCTGTCTAAAGATACCAAGACGAAGCAACTTTTCTCGAGCTTCATGCGATTTTCTCATCACCTACAGGATGAGATAAGGAGCTCAGTCTTTTGGGTTACCAAAAATTAACTAGGATAAAATAGTTGAAATGGAGCTAAGTCTTATAACATTCACAGATTTTGTGTACAAAGACACACACACATGCACCTTCAAAACAGATCACCACCGCTTTCATGCTTGAATCTGTAAAGAAAGAAATTAAACTCAGAGCATCCGGCTCAAATCTTGCCTTTTGTTAGTGTGCATCCTAATTGTTACAATACTTAAAGCTATTATTCAAATAGGTTTCAGTATTTAAAACTTATACACCTAATTACAGGGCCCATGCTTTTGGTAAAAAAAAAAAAACAAATACCCTCATCTGTTCAAATTTAGACTAATTTGCAGGTCTAATTTGCAGCTGTACTCCAGGAGAAATCACCACCTAAAAGGGCAAGGACATACAGTCTAACTCAGTCTTTGATCCACCAGCATCAGTTATCTGTGGGGACATCCAATAATTTATCTTAAGCAAACTAACTGAAAGTGTCACCTACACAGTTAGCAATTCTCAGCAGGAAGAGTGAAGCTGAAAACTATCTGAGATAACTGCCATCTCACAACGTATTTCATCTGAATACATCAGAAAATACAGTATCTGCCACTATATCATATTTAAGTTTGGCTTCCATATCACAAGATCAAAATCATCACAAAACCTGACAAAGCTGCCTCAGGTCTGAAGGGAAGAGCCCAAAGCAGGAAAAAGGGAGAAAATCGTAATTTGAGTTTTTAAACAGTAGGTCTGTTGTTCAGTCCAGTACTTACATCAATGAGATTTTTAGCCTTGAAAACATCAGCGATTTCATACATGATAATGTCATCTTTGGTCCTTCCGAGTCCATCAAAGTGCACATGCTGAACCACCACCTGAACAGAACAGAGGTTTAAACACAAATACTGAATTTACATCTAATAATGAGTATCAAAATCACCAGTGCAGATAAAAAATATCCTCCAAGTGAAAAACCTCTCAAAATGCCTAGGCTAGTTGATGCTAACCTACATTATCGGAAATGAGTGCTAGCTACAATTCTGTAAAGATGTTCCCTTAGCAGGAAAATTAAAGAAAAAAGAACTCTATTTCCAAAGCTAATACTAGTTGCAGCAGAAGAGACAGTAACGGATTGTAGGTGCTAGGATTTTAGTTGTTAAGTGTTGTAGAGACAAATAAATCACTGCAGAAATCACACTGAGATAGTAAGACAGTAAGACAAAACATGTAGCTAGTCATTAGCTATGTCTTGTGTCAGCTACACGTAAGGAAATAGTCAAAAGAATAAACCAACCAACCTACAAGCCATAAATATATAAACTCTAACTATTGAAATTATTACTCCCACTGGAGCATTGTAGTTTAAAATGTATACTGAGATCACTAGCCTTATGGGGGTTTATGTTTTCTTAAAATAATTCATCTTGTTATGTAATCATCTGAGAGAACTTGACCTTAAAAGTCACAACACACTCCAGGTTAGCTGGTACAAAAGGACTACAGTGACTGCATTTCCCTCCTTTTTCCAGCCTTTTCAGCGTATCACAATTTTAAGGGTAAGTGTAAAAAAAATATAATCATCTGCAAACACCTCATGTATTCGCATATAAAAAAAATAGCAGAGCAAGAGCAACCTAGCATTACTGCAAATTGCTTTAGAAAAAAAATCCTATCAGAATATATATGTATCATGAACTCAATAAAACCCAAATGTTATTAGCTTCTAGTGAGGAGGACTCTGTATAGCATAAGGGAAAGGAAAATTTTAATAACAACTAAGATGCTGCGTGGTATCTCACTCCTCTAAACACTTTGTGGGCCAAGACAGCCATGCTCTGACATGTGAAATATTTAAAAAAAAAAGTTACCACCCTGAGCTGAAGTTAGTATTTATATGTGAAATATTTAAAAAAAACAAAGTTACCACCCTGAGCTGAAGTTAGTATTTCCCTTGGTAACATAATTCATGTGGTGGCAGTTTCCCCTAACCTGGCTAATACTGCACTCCAGCAGATTAAGGACAGTTGCTTGGTTTGCTCCTAAGCAGTGCTGCAGAAGCAGTAATCTCTTATGAGAGAGGGGGAAAAGCAGCATCTGGAAACAGGGCTATTTAGTTCAAAGCTGAATTTCAATAACTCTTTTCCCTTCGTAACATAATTCACGTGGTGGCAGTTTCCCCTAACCTGGCTAATACTGCACTCCAGCAGATTAAGGACAGTTGCTTGGTTTGCTCCTAAGCAGTGCTGCAGAAGCAGTAATCTCTTATGAGAGAGGGGGAAAAGCAGCATCTGGAAACAGGGCTATTTAGTTCAAAGCTGAATTTCAATAACTCTTGTGGTAAGGAAAAAAAGGAACAACTAGTCGACATCAGATTAAATTTACAGTACTAAATTTAATTCTTTCACATCTCAAACCATAGTTTAGAAAGTTCCCTTAGGAAAAACAAGCAGGCAAGGGGTGCCAAGACGTTTCTCTTAAAAATCAGGATGTTGTTCAGGTACTTACATCTTTGTTTTCGAGAATTTCCTGCTTGGCCTCAGGTTCAACTTCAACCAATTCAGCTTCCTCTCCCAAGGCACCAAAGTCTGGCCCACCCATTGGGAGAGGCTCCAAACTCTGAAAGCATAAAAGAAAACTGTGTGTAATACGGGACACAATTTGTGATTTACACCCTTTGCAAAGGAAAAAGGCTATGGTTCAATGGGGGAGAATTATTTGCTACCTACGTGCTTGCTGAAATTTTTAATGAAAGCTGAATAGCTTCCATGTTGAATGATTTCTCAAAAATACTCTGCACTCTTCCAAAAATAACCTTATTTAAGGCATGCTTCCTGTGTTAAAAACGAACTCTACCTTCTTTAAAAAAATAAAATAAAATCAGGGTGTCAGTACTTAGTTTGGGTTTTTGGGAAATCAGCGTGTCAGTATTTAGTTTGGGTTTTTGGGAGTCAGAGGAGTGTGAATGCTGAACAATGGGCGGAAAACAGGGTGTTTTCAGCATGTAACTTTGCTTAGGAAAAACAAGCAGGCAAGGGGTGCCAAGACGTTTCTCTTAAAAATCAGGATGTTGTTCAGGTACTTACATCTTTGTTTTCGAGAATTTCCTGCTTGGCCTCAGGTTCAACTTCAACCAATTCAGCTTCCTCTCCCAAGGCACCAAAGTCTGGCCCACCCATTGGGAGAGGCTCCAAACTCTGAAAGCATAAAAGAAAACTGTGTGTAATACGGGACACAATTTGTGATTTACACCCTTTGCAAAGGAAAAAGGCTATGGTTCTTGACACTGTGCTCATCAGATCATAAGGGGGAAAAAAAGGAAAAGAGAAGATTTAAAATGGGGGAGAATTATTTGCTACCTACGTGCTTGCTGAAATTTTTAATGAAAGCTGAATAGCTTCCATGTTGAATGATTTCTCAAAAATACTCTGCACTCTTCCAAAAATAACCTTATTTAAGGCATGCTTCCTGTGTTAAAAACGAACTCTACCTTCTTTAAAAAAATAAAATAAAATCAGGGTGTCAGTACTTAGTTTGGGTTTTTGGGAAATCAGCGTGTCAGTATTTAGTTTGGGTTTTTGGGAGTCAGAGGAGTGTGAATGTTGAACAATGGGCGGAAAACAGGGTGTTTTCAGCATGTAACTTTGCTTTGCATATACTTATATGCTTTTATATTTTAATATTTCTTTTCAAAGTATCCTTCCAAGCAATGCTCAAGAACCTCAGGCCCTATCCATCAGAGGTAAACTTTTTAATCAAAATGGTTTCCAGCACAGCATGACTTTATTTATGAAACCAGAAAGAGTCCTTTAATAAAACTTATCAGAAGATAATGGATTCAAGCATGAGTGAACAGAGGGTTACCTGCAAAAGCAGAGGTCAGGACTGGATAACTTGGTAAATCTACTTTTAGTCTTAAGTCACTAATACAGTACTTGCTGCATTATTTCAGGATGGCTGTTTTGCTGGAATAGTAAATTGCTGTTACAGATCAGAATCGAGTTAAATGAAGACAGAATCCTCTCTCACTCCCAATAATTTTCAGGCAAGCATGAAACGCTCCCTATCCACACAATATTGTATATCACTTTATACTGCAGACACACAGAAAACTAAGAATATGAGAAAAAAACTGGTCACGGTAATCAGATATTCTGGAGCCTTAAGAGTATGTGGCAGCAACATACTCCTCAGTCTAACCGCTGTGTAAAAGCCTGCTGGTTTTCAACAGGCTCACAGGAAAGAGCTTTTCTACCTGGGATCTTGAGGAATCATCCAAACCACTCTTAGCCCCCCAGACAGGTCAGTCGCTCATTAATCAAGCCTGAATCATCTCCATCAGTTTTAAACACTCCTATACAGGCTCCCCATGGTTGTTTGAAGGGGAAAATAGTTTAAGCCAAATTCACAAGGTATTTTACCAAATGGACTGAAGATTTGCACTGTGATTCCTCTGCTTTACAGTCAGTGGCACCACTGACCTGTCCTACGTTACACTGTGACATTTTTATAGTCTAACGTTGTTGTAACCTGTCTCACACAACTCCTACACCTTTCCATAAAGCAGAATACTCAGGAGTGGGCTCCTTATCTAAAATCAGGAGACGCTTCTCTGATGAAGAACTGAAGCATGGAGAATTCAATGCCTTCCTAAGGTATATCAGAACCTACGTATCCTTATTATTTGAAATTCTTTTCTGATGTTGCCATTGTAACCACTTTTTCTGTTCCATTATAACCACTACTTCTTGTCACAGACTCACAGAATGGTTTAGGTTAGAAGGGACCTTAAAGATCAGGGAATTCCAACCCCTCTGCCATGGGCAGGGACACCTCCCACTAGAGCAGGTCACTCAAAGCCCCATCCAGCCTGGTTTTAAACACCTCCAGGGATGGGGCATCCACAGCTTCTCTGGGCAACCTGTTCCAGTGCCTCACCACACTTATAGTAAAGAATTTCCCCCTAATATCTAACCTAAATCCATACTCTTCTGTTTTAAAACTGTTACCCCTTATCTTATCATGTGGGTACACTCCCTGATAAAGGATCCCTCCCCATCTCTCCTATAGGGCCCTCTTCAGATACTGAAAAGGCTGCTCTAAGGTCTCCCTGGAGCCTTTTCTTCTCCAGCCTGAACACCCCCAACTCTCTCAGCCTGTCCCCGCAGGAGAGAAACGCTCCAGCCCCCTCACCATCTCCGCAGCCCCTCACCTTCGTTTTATTTCTCGCCCTACCGCGACAAACGCTGAAATCTTCCCCTTCCTTCTTTAAACATCCGCATTTGCACATTTACCTCAACCCGCCCGTCCCTCAATAGCTTCACCCCTCGGCCCGAAGCCGGTGTCGGGCGGCCGGCGCTCGCCCTCGCTCCCGGGCCTGGCCCGAAGGTCGCCTCAGGCGACCTTCGGGCCAGGCCCGGGGGCGAGGGCGAGCAGCCGGCCGCGCTTCTCCGCCCGGTCCTTCCCCGCTGCCCCGCGTCCCGGCGCTTACCCGGGCGTGCACGGTGCCCATAGCGGCCGAGGGGGCGACGGAGCCGTGAAGGGCTGAGGGGCCGCTGGCGTTCAAGGCCGCGGCACGGGGGCAGCCATGACAGGGAGCCCCGGCCCGGCCCCTATTGGCCGGAGGAGGGGGAAGGGGCGGGGCCAAGCGTGAAGTGCCCGGATGCTTGTTGGCGGGCAGGCGCGCGTGCGCAGATAGGAAAAAAAGAGGCCCTGCTAACGCCAGAGTTTTAAGATTAAAAGATTTTAAACCATCTCCACCGTGCTACCTTAAGAGTTTGAACTAAAAGAGGAGACAACGTTATTTTTCTTCCTCTGGACCCAAATAACAATTTTCGTCTGCTTTTTAAATTATTCCTAGAATCGTGGAATGGTGTGGGTTGGAGTCATGGAATGACCTGGGTTGGAAGGGACCTTGGAGTCATGGAATGGGGTGGGTTGGAAGGACCTTGCAATCATGGAATGGCCTGGGTTGGAAGGGACCGCGTCTGCTTTTTAAATTATGCCTAGAATTGTGGAATGGTGTGGGTTGGAAGGGCCTTGGAAACATGGAATGGTCTGGGTTGGAGTCATGGAATGACCTGGGTTGGAAGGACCTTGGAATCATGGAATGGCCTGGGTTAGAAGGGACCTTGGAAACATGGAATGGTGTGGGCTGGAAGGGACCTTGGAATCATGGAATGACCTGGGTTGGAAGGGACCTTGGAATCATGGAATGGCCTGGGTTAGAAGGGACCTTGGAAACATGGAATGGTGTGGGCTGGAAGGGACCTTGGAATCATGGAATGGCCTGGGTTGGAAGGGACCTTGGAATCATGGAATGGCCTGGGTTAGAAGGGACCTTGGAAACATGGAATGGTGTGGGCTGGAAGGGACCTTGGAATCATGGAATGACCTGGGTTGGAAGGGACCTTGGAATCATGGAATGGCCTGGGTTAGAAGGGACCTTGGAAACATGGAATGGTGTGGGCTGGAAGGGACCTTGGAATCATGGAATGACCTGGGTTGGAAGGGACCTTGGAATCATGGAATGGCCTGGGTTGGAAGGGACCTTGGAAACATGGAATGGTGTGGGTTGGAAGGATGTTGGAAACATGGAATGGTGTGGATTGGAGTCATGGAATGGTGTGGGTTGGAAGGGGCCTTGGAATCATGGAATGGCCTGGGTTGGAAGGGACCTTGGAATCATGGAATGGCCTGGGTTGGAAGGGACCTTGGAATCATGGAATGGTCTGGGTTGGAAGGGACCTTGGAATCATGGAACGGTCTGGGTTGGAAGGACCTTGGAATCATGGAACGGCCTGGGTTGGAAGGAACCTTTAAGATTATTCAAGTCCAACTGTCAACCTAACACTGCCAAAACGGCCGCTAACCGGTGTCCCACCCAATGGTCCTCACGCCCTGAGAAGTGACACCATAAATCCTACGGCAAAATTTTAGCAGTATGGACCTTGGGACATTTATCAAGATGACAGGCAAGGAGAACAAGTGGGTTATCCACCCTCTGTCAACCATTAAAGAGCTTCTCCAAGTGACTGAACCTTTTCTCCAGACAGGAACATCTAAGCAGTTCTCAAAGATACTGAGTGAACTAGGGAGCCCTCAGCCTTTTGATCCGTGGATATTGCTCCATTTTTAGGTCTTGAAGCTAAAAAAAGGGGAAGGGGGGGGGGGCAGGAAGAAAAGGAAAAAATATATTTTTTATACCTTTATACCGAGGGACCTTGGAAACATGGAATGGTGTGCGTTGGAAGGACCTTGGAAGCATGGAATGGCCTGAGTTGGAAGGACCTTGGAATCATAGAACAGCCTGGGTTGGAAGCGACCTTTAAGATTATTCAAGTCCAACTGTCAACCTAACACTGCCAAAACGGTCGCTTAACCGGTGTACCACCCGATGGTCCTGAGAAATGACGCCATAAATCCTACAGCAAAATTTTAGCAGTATGGACCTCCAGCCTTAAATTGGGACATTTATCAATATGACAGGGAAGGAGAACAAGCGGGTTATCCACCCTCTGTCAACCATTAAAGAGCTTCTCCCAGTGACTGAACCTTTTCCCCAGACAGGAACATCTAAGCAGTTCTCAAAGATACTGAGTGAACTAGGGAGCCCTCAGCCTTTTGATCCGTGGATATTGCTCCATTTTTAGGTCTTGAAGCTAAAAAAAGGGGAAGGGGGGGCAGGAAGAAAAGGAAAAAATACCTTTTTTATACCTTTATACCTTTTTTATATCTTTTATATCTATATCTTAAAGACCATTAAGTTCCAACCCCCCTGCCATGGGCAGGGACACCTCCCACCAGACCAGGTCACTCAAAGCCCCATCCAGCCTGGCCTTGAACCCCTCCAGGGATGGGGCACCCACAGCTTCTCTGGGCAACCTCTTCCAGTGTCTCACCGGAGTGTTTAAATAGAAAAACATTCATATGCATAGCTGTTGTGTATAAATTTTAAGTTGTGCACAATAGGAGGAGCTAGGCCCTGTGCTCCTGGCACCACAATAAAGAATGCCTGCTTTCTGAACTTTAAATTGAGTCCCAGAAAGTTTTATCTGCTGGTTTGTGGTAACAATTGTCTTTTAATTTTAGGAATATAGAAGCTTAAAATAGAAATTTAAAATAGAAACCTTTAAATTGTGTTTAAATAGAAAAAGTTATTTGTACAGTAACAGATTATAAAGAACTTGTTATGTGAACAAGCATCTCTGACACTCAGGTTACCTCTCTTAAGTTACTACCCTTCTACCTTGCAACCATTAACTATTTTACACGTTCAATGAAATAAGCATTTTGTCATTTTACTTACACTCGGTGAATTATACTCAAGAAAGCTTCGAAAAACATGGTAAAAGAGATTGTGATACCTAAGGCAGATTTTATGTAGTTTATAAATGGTTAAACTGTAGAGAATCTTCTTTTAGAGAAGAACTGGAGCTATTTCAGTAACATCCCAAATAGTTTCAAAGACTTAGTAAATAAGAAAGGATGTCTGTGGCCCTGAGAACATGGTGACCTAAGACAAGCATGCAATAAATATGGACATTGTCTGGCAAACAGGTGGTAGCAGAGAGATCACTAGTTTTAATGAGCAATTAAGCAGTTGGAATGTTTTGCCAACATGAAAAGTGAGCCAAAAGACAGGTGAAGAAGATGAAGATTGAGGGAGAAGCGACCCTCATTCAAAATGAGGACTGCCAGAAGGCACAATTATGTGTGCCCAAAAGCTTATTATAATATGTAAATGAATTCACAGAAATGTAATGAATATGCTAATGTTTTCTTGGAATTACATTGCATATGCATACCTGTTGTGTACAAATTTAAATTGACAACAGCATTGGGTGTGCACAATAGGAGGAGCTGGCCCCTGTGCTCCTGGCACCGCAATGAAGAACTCCTGCTTTCTGAACTTGAAATTGAGTCCTAGAAAGTTTTATCTGCTGGTTTGTGGGTAACAATTGTCTTTTAATTTTAGAAAAAGGAGACAAGCCTGGAGCTGTGCACAACAGGAGTTGCTAAGGGTTGATTTAAATGCAGTTAATAGAATGGTTCCAAGTGCACAGAAAGGAAGCAAAACCTGCTTAAAACTAAAGCAGGTTTTAAAATGAAACTAACATTTTGCAGAAAACTGAATCATAGAAACTTTAGAGTTATAAATAAAGACAATATAAAACAGATCTTGTATCTTTTAATCGTAGTCAGAGTAACACTTCCAATTTTTCTTGCAAATTTGAGGATATATACACAGCAGAAATGAACAAAAGAGTTGAAGTAAAATAGCACCAGTCTTCTGCAGTAGGGAAATGGATAGAATCATAGAATCATAGAATCATTGAGGTTGGAAGAGACCCTTGGGATCATCGAGTCCAGCCATCTACCCTACTCTACAAAGTCCTCCCCTACACCATGTCCCTCAGTACCGCATCTAAACGGCCCTTAAACACATCCAGGGATGGTGACTCAACCGGTTGGTGACACTTTCTCCCCTGTCCCCCACCATTCTAAAAATTGATCTTAATGTTGTAAAATTTAGCACTTCAAGCTTAGGGGAATCACAACTGAGGAACTGCTTAAAGCCTGCTCCAGTTCTCAAGTGCTATGTTTTGCTGTTTGACAGCTTTTGCCCTCCTGGGGTTCCCTCTCCTGAGCATCACCACCTCATCCCTGTGTCTCCTCCTACAGGAGACTCTCAGGAGTCACCTCTTCTGTCTCATCCCTCAGACTCACACAAGTTGCATGAACAAGAAGCATTCTGATGTCACGCACCTCTCCCCAAACACATGCGCAAACCCAACTTTAAAGCCAGCATTGTTTCCTTCCACTTTAAAAAAAAAAAATAGCGCAAGACAGCCAAAGAATAATTACTCTTCACAGTTATTTACTGCTTCTGATGTATTCATCTACTAATGCATTGTCTTTATTAAAATTATGCAGAACCTTTGTAGCAGGAGGTGTTTGAAATCCTGATAGCTCAGTAGGGATGCGATTTGGCTGACTTTCAACCCATTACAGAATCACAGAATCTTCTAGGTTGGAAGGGACCTTAAAGATCATCTTGTCCAACCATCAACCTAACTGACAAAAATAGACGCCCACACACAAACAAGGAGCATCATCACTAAACCATACCTCCCAGCACTACATCAACCTGTCTTTTGAACACCTCCAGGGATGGTGCCTCAACCACCTCCCTGGGCAGCCCATTCCAATGCCTGATAACCCTTTCCGTGAAAAAATGTTTCCTAATATCCAGCCTGAACCTCCCCTGGCGCAACTTGAGGCCATTTCCTCTTGTCCTGTCGCCTGTGACTTGAGAAAAGAGACCTTTGCACAGCTCCCTGGATGTTGATGCTTCCTCTAAGTCTTACGCGTTTCCTTCTTCTTACAGTTGGTCTTGAAAAACTTCCTTTGGGTTCTCATCCCTCACTGAGACAGGAGGGACACATTTTTTCTAGCAAGAGGGAAGTTAAGGAAGGAACGAAAAAATCTCTCAAGTTGGAGGGGAAAAAATGATTGGGAAAGATGGGGCAGCAATCAGACATAAGACCTAAACATCACTCACCACTTGCTATACATTGATTATTTTTTTTAAAGTCTTCTGTAAAGTTTAACAATCAGACATAAGACCTAAACATCACTCACCACTTGCTATACATTGATTATTTTTTTTAAAGTCTTCTGTAAAGTTTAACACCGTCTCAAATTACCGTTTGCTACTAATCACAGTCACTATTTAACCTACTTTTCAAAACTTAGTTAAGTCCTTATTAAGTACAAACAAGTCCTCTGCAATCACTGAAACTACCCGATTACCCTTCAAGGGAATGTGAAGTAACATGAACTGTGGAATAAGCACAACCACCTAGAATATTCCTGTTCCTACAGTAGCTCATGCAGACAACACAGCAGTATGTTTAAACATAAGGCAAACAGACACTGGAGGCCACTAAAGAGCTCATTCGTGTATTTCCCTTTATGAAGTAAAAGTCCAATTTCATTTAAGTGCTATAAAAGTAATCCTAACATAGAATATTGTTAAGAATCATATTCTTTAAAAAGCTTGTTTGATGCTTGTTTGTCTAACAATCTGTTTACAGAATTTACATTTTTCTGCTGAAAGTAGATTTAAAAAAAAAAAATTTATTTCCAGAGAGACATTATTTACTACAAGTCTTACTACGGTTGATTGAGCTGGTGCTTTGACAGAATTGTAGTCTGTTACTTAGTATAGCAGCCACTGGTTTTATAATCCTTAAAAGTGTAGAATTCCCAAGGCAGATTCGTCAGGAAGCTGTAAACAAATAATTTTCCAAGACTTATTGGCAATAAACAAAGTGATCTGTAGTCCTTTAGGATTTAAATTTCTCTGCCAAATTGGAATTTTGGAAGCTGTGGAATCTACTTCCAAATTAGTACTCTGGAGCAGTATGGAAACTTGCCTCTGAGGAAGAGTCAAAATCTATTTCCAACCCAGACTCATCAGAATTTGGGAGAAAATTAGGGTAGGAGTTTAAATCTGAATGCTCCTGGATGTTGGCAGAAGCATTTTTCATAGCTGAGCGCACGAAGCACGAAGATTCCCAGAGCCAGGTTTCAAGGTCTGCAGAAGAGTGAGGCATTTTCAGATGGCAGTATGAAGAATGAAATTCCACAGCAGATGGGACAGTCTGACATTTTCTTAGCGATGCATAATTGTCTTTCCTGTTAAAGAAAAAAAGAAACAGCTTATTAGTGCTTCCATGACATTTCTATTACTGGTCAGATGTCTGACAGGGAATCTTCATAGAAAAGGAAAAACACTAGAGGAGAACAGTTAATTCTACATGCACTTAATGAGGTAGGATATGGGACAACAGGAAAAGGACCTTGAAATGACCATATCTAAAAGAAGGGCACTCTGCCGTTATGTGTTGTCCTCAGAAAAGCAAGTATGAAATAGTTACATTAAGTCAAGGGCAACGAAGCTGGTGAGGGGGCTGGAAAACAAATCGTATGAGGAGCGGCTGAGGGAGTTGGGGCTGTTTAGTGTGAGGAAGAGGAGGCTGAGGGGAGACCTCATCACTCTCTACAACTACTTGAAAGGACACTGTAGAGAGGTTGGTGCTGGTCTCTTCTCACAGGTAATTAGTGACAGAACGAGAGGGAACGGCTTCAAGCTCCAACAGGGTAGGTTTAGATTGAACATTAGGAAGGAATTTTTCACAGAGAGAGTGGTCGGGCAGTTAATTCTACATGCACTTAATGAGGTAGGATATGGGACAACAGGAAAAGGACCTTGAAATGACCATATCTAAAAGAAGGGCACTCTGCCCTTATGTGTTGTCCTCAGAAAAGCAGGTATGAAATAGTTACATTAAGTCAATAGTTACATTAATTATCACCAACCTGGACAGCTGGAACAGAACTTTCCTACACTGTGAAAAGTACCTGACTCACCAGGTTAGTCTTTTCCAATCTGAGAAATGGGAAACTGATGTTGTCACCAAGAATACTCAATTTTTTCTTTAAAGTTGTCTCTCTCTCCTTTCTCACAGTGCTTTTGAGAAAAAAAACCCAATAGTTACTTTAATTATCACCAACCTGGACAGCTGGAACAGAACTTTCCTACACTGTGAAAAGTACCTGACTCACCAGGTTAGTCTTTTCCAATCTGAGAAATGGGAAACTGATGTTGTCACCAAGAATACTCAATTTTTTCTTTAAAGTTGTCTCTCTCTCCTTTCTCACAGTGCTTTTGAGAAAACAGAACTTTCCTACACTGTGAAAAGTACCTGACTCACCAGGTTAGTCTTTTCCAATCTGAGAAATGGGAAACTGATGTTGTCACCAAGAATACTCAATTTTTTCTTTAAAGTTGTCTCTCTCTCCTTTCTCACAGTGCTTTTGAGAAAAAAGGCCCAAAGCAACCTGCAATGCACCCTCTCACACGCAAGGAAACCCAACTCACCATACACACATTCAACACCAGTTACCACACCTGAAGTTCAGGTGTACTAGAAGATACCATCCACCAGGTTAAGTTTCCTAAAAGGATTTTCATACTGTAAACAGTGCAAATTTTCATGAGATTTAAGTTTCATTCCAAAACAGAAGCAAGATCTGCTGACATAAGGGGAAGAATGTAAAAAAAAAAATAAACCCAAAGCAACCTGCAACGCACCCTCTCACATGCAAGGAAACCCAACTCACCATACACACATTCAACACCAGTTACCACACCTGAAGTTCAGGTGTACTAGAAGATACCATCCACCAGGTTAAGTTCCCTAAAAGGATTTTCATACTGTAAACAGTGCAAATTTTCATGAGATTTAAGTTTCATTCCAAAACAGAAGCAAGATCTGCTGACATAAGGGGAAGAATGTAAAAAAAAAATTAAAAAGATGGGGAGATTACTTTCTGCGAAAGTAGCAGGAGGTTCTTGGTGGATGCTGAAACAAAGTACAAGCCCACAAAGAGTCACCTGTAGAATACAATGCAGGAATCTACACATGTAGACCTAGCTACCTGAAGGGGGAATCTGCTTAAAGGAAGGCATCACAAAACTTAGAAATTTGACAGTGTAAACAGTTCAGTGGGAGCTGATCACCTTGAAGTTCTGCTAAAAGCATACAGCTAAAGCCACATGGCCACCATGTTCTGTTTTAGGGCCAAGAGCTTGCTCTTTCCACAAGAAGAGAAACAATGTTTCTGGTTAATCATGACTCAATGACCAAATAACCCCTCTGAAAAGCTAGGTCTGAGACAGTCTTGTGACTTTGTGTCTTCCAAACGCCCATTTCAGAGGAAGAGTCTCATGACTGTTAAGGCTGGAATACGAGCGACGTCAAAAAGCTGCTAATTAAGGGTAAAAGCAGGAAAATTACCCTACCCAAAGTTATTGTGGAAAGGAATCAGAAATGCCATTAAGAGAAGGAGGAAGAAAGGACACTGGATTACATGTGGTATCAAATAACTGAAGAGGTGACAGAAGGTTGATAGCAAATATATACCAAGAACTACATTTCTGCTCAGAGAGATGGCCTCAAAACCCAACTACTGTTATACAAGAAAAGGCTGTAACTGATTAAAGGAGAAGTGAGGCTATTAGTATACTGGAATTATATGCTTCTGAATTCTGGATAAAACTGAATATTGTAAAAAGAAATTATCTTTACAACCTAATATTACAGCCACCATTTAATATTTCCAAAAGGGGGAAGAAAACTCAAGCTTCAACCTCATTAAGTCTTCCATTAAGCCAGAACTTTTAACAGGAAGTTTGACTACTCTGTACTTTCAAGGAATGGATCATATGAATTGGATCTTTCACAATGCCAATCCAGAACCTGCCAAAGCTTCTTCAATCTCACACCAGCTTAGCCAGAGAAGCACAATGAACCTAGTTACAACCAGGTTAGAGTAGAGATTTCTCTTCCATGGAAATAGAGGCTCCTAAAAATTCTCCCTATGTGTCTCATATTAATTCTTCTCAACTATTTTACAAGACTGTCCTTCATATTCATCTCCTTTTTAACTCTTACAACTTTTCCTGTCCAGACTCCTAAAAATATAGTCTTCCTCTAATGTTTTCCAGCCCCTATCTGCTACGTCTGATTTAGAACATCTTGAACAATGTTTTCCCACTCTTTTCTTCTTGATTGCTCCCAGCTACTGTGGAACAGAGATGAAACAAGACCTCTGTTCTCAAGCCCAATGCTTGTTCTCAAATCCATCCCTTTCCCCAAAAAGCATAAGCCTACCAACAGGCAACACCTCTTAATCTACAATATGTAGCAGTCACATTGCTCAGTTATAGACAAGAAGCACCAGAAAAACTTAAGAAACAATGCTAAGGATTAGAACCAGCAAGAACTTTGATCAGTTATAGACAAGAAGCACCAGAAAATAAACTTAAGAAACAATGCTAAGGATTAGAACCAGCAAGAACTCTTTTGTATTACCTTTGAGAAAATTATTAAATCCTGTTTTAAGAGAGAAACTTGTAGCACTTAAAGCCCTAACAAAAGAACGAGAATTTCTAAAAATGCATCCACTTTACCTGGATGTACAGAACAGCTTGCTTTTAGCCTGGGAATAAACTGTACCAGCAATCCGACAGAACTGTTCTTGCATCCATCGAACATCAGCAGGCATGTCAGGAAACCAGTTCACTAACCTATAATCAGAACCAAAATGCACATTGTTTCATAAGCAGTAGATTCAATCTGCGTTACATTCTTACACATCACATCCAATAGTCAACAAAATAACACAGCTTTCATTCACAGAATCACAGAATCTTCTAGGTTGGAAGGGACCTTAAAGATCATCTTGTCCAACCGTCAACCTAACTGACAGAAATAGACACCCACACAACAAACAAGGAGCATCACCATCACTAAACCATACCTCCCAGCACGACATCAACCCGTCTTTTGAACACCTCCAGGGATGGTGCCTCACCCACCTCCCTGGGCAGCCCATTCCAATGCCTGATAACCCTTTCCGTGAAAAAATTTTTCCTAATATCCAGCCTGAACCTCCCCTGGCGCAACTTGAGGCCATTTCCTCTTGTCCTGTCGCCTGTGACTTGAGAAAAGAGACCGACCCCCACCTCTCTACACCCTCCTTTCAGGGAGTTGTAGAGAGCAATATTGACTCCCCAAATTGACTCCCCCACCAAAGTCTGCAGGTCTTCCCAACCTCTCCAAATTTCCATTGCTTTTCTACAAGCTCAGAAAAAGGGCAGCACAGACCCCCGTATCTCTGATCTATGTTGAGCAGCTGACCAGTACATGCATTCCACGCCTCGTGATCAACATGTAGGAAGCGTGCAGAAATCTCCTGTCTCTGAGATGCCTTTCTGTATGGTAGGAAATTTCTGGTCAGTTTAAAGGTAGGTGGGAGAGGAAGGAAGAACAAAAGAAAAGCCCAGTGGAAGAAGGACTAGAAGGCAGAAACAGAACCATGTCACAACTGTTCTTTTGTCTCCTTTGATGCTCTTAACAGAAGTCAGTTACACAAAAGAGGGGTGAGGGGCAAAAACCCACATTAAAATTCTGTTGAAACTTGCTTCCTCTTCATCCACCAAAACACCACGTTAAACGGCACAGAAATAAAATATTTTACTGAGTTCTATGTGGTTCCATTTATAAAATCAAGTATTTTCTGAAGATAGTAATGACAACTGCTGTTCAAGGTTTGGAGTTCTCTTAAGCAAGCACAAAGCTTAGTGTTCATGGTGCACTCATGTAGAATAATTTCTCCTTTACTAGAACTGAAAAACTTCTAAAATTAAGCCTTGTTTCAAGAGCACAGCTTTCAGTCAACCTAAACAAACTGGGTAAGAAAATCTATATGCCTAGTAAACACTGGATTTCAATCCTGCCTTCAAAAAGAAGCTAAAGCACAAGAAATGTCTGGACAGAGTTCAAATAGCACTGCAGAATATAGTAATAAAGAATGTGCTCCTGGAAAACACAAGTAAAGGTGCTTCCTTCAAGCAATTATGAGACAGCTACTAGTAATAGGAGTAAATAATTTAGAAATCTTCTTAATGTTTACCTAGCCTTAGACTATACAGGCTTTAGGAGGATGCATTATGTAGCTAGAAATAATGGTCTTCTGACAGTTACCACTTGAATTCTAGAGTACAAGAATGTCTACGACACTGAATAAGATCTCAATGAGTAAAATTTCCAAAAGTGTAATAATTCTAAAAGTTCTTTACCGCAAAGCAACAGAGTAAGCGGACTCCACTGGCAGCGTATAGGGCAGCATCAGGTAGGATATCACCCTCATGGGGAAGAGTTTCGAGAACTGAGCGTAGAATCCATTCTGTTCTTTGCAAGCTTCCTGCAATGCTTAAGGATAATTATTGTTGAAAAAGATATTAGACTATTTGAAAAGAGTTTAAACAATTTGCTCAAAGTTTGGTCATCTTCAGTCATCGTTATCAAGTGTCTGAATGAGGCTCAGACAGAATTAATCTCAAGGCACTCTTACCATAAACCTTCTCTATGCTATTTTAAAATACTAGAAACACAGGCTCATACCACAGGAACAAGAGGCACTACCTAGAACTTCTAAGCAACACATCTAAGAATTAATTTTTAGTAACAGGATGTAAAGCTCACCTCTCCAAAAATACTTATGTTCTAGATAACATTCCAGTCTTGCTAGAGACTCTATAACTCTAAGGAGTTTGTTTAAATTCTAGAGTTATGCATGTTCTAGTTGTTACATATAGTTGTAAGAAATATCACACTTCAAATTTTTTTCTCCTAGGTCACCGGGATCACAAGTTTCAGATCTTAGAAATACCCATCAACATCCACAGAAAAAACGAGTCAAAAGTTATAGATTAAAGAAATACCAGAAGTGGTTTTGGTCTATTAACAGCTTATTAAAAGAGACAGTAAAGACAACGAATTAGCAATCTACAGAAGTCTGTTTTAAAAATAAGATAACCAGTGTTTGGGTTTGAGGTTCAACTTTGGTGTGAAATATATGCTTACAAAATTACTGTGTACATGCAAGGTTTATCCAAAACTAAATGAGAACTCAATTCACAAGTCTGCAGTGTTGAAAGCAGGTCCTTCCCCCTGCGTCAAACTTATTTCTGTGTACAGAAAGAAACGTACATGTTCACATTTAATAAGTATTTAAAGAACTTTTGTGGGTTGAGCTAGTCTCTAATATCACAAACAGTTGTAAGATTAAATAAAAAGCATCTTATGCAAATTATAAGAGTAAGCAGAAGGGGAAAAATAAATCAAAGTTTGCCTCTCAAAGTTACAGGAAACAGTCTGAAGAATGTACCTTTACGAAGTCTAGGAGGTAGACTCTCAAATATGCTCTTCTCCAAAGGCCATGGATTTTGGTTCAACTGGTCATTAAGGACGCCCATTTTAAAAGCTTCCACTTTGTTATTTTCTGTCAATGTTTTTTTCTTCATATGGTCAATGTGTTGTGCAGCCTCATGAGGATTTTTTTTTGGAAAGGACAAGTGGATATAAATTGAGTCATTCAGAATACCTGAAAGAGTCAAGAATTTCCACTTAGGCTTGACCCACGGGTTTTCAGAGTACCTGTGATCTGTGTATCCATACAAAGGCCTACCCTGAGGGAACATCATCTACCCAATATCAAATACACTTGCTCATATAATCCCACAAATGTTTAATCACAGTGATGAATACTCTTTTGCAGGTTTTCATTAAAATACATTCTAAAGAAAAGGAAAAAGTGAAATTAATTGAAACTGCACTGGAAACACACTATCATTTACCAAATTTGTTTTCCAGCAAGCAAATGATTTAAAGACAGTAAGGAAAACTGATTTAATATTTATTTGAAAGAAAACACAATTCATCACACATTTGGGAAATTTGATATGGCAGGTATCACATGAGTAGTTTGAGGCATTGCTACAACAGGGTGGGAAGGAAACAGAGTAGGACACAATATTGTTTGAAGATATATCCAAAGTACAGATCTAAATCAACATTGGTTGCCTTGCAAAACTGGTGCCAATTAAGAAAGAGCAGTGATAATTACCTTAGAAACAAGCACTAGATAATGAGCACAAAGTGAAAAATACAAAAAGGGTATTTATATGCAGTTTCCAGAAAAGCATTCATTATAAAGTTATTTATATATATAAAACCAGCCAAATTTGACTAGGATCCATACCTACATACAACAGAGTTAGTAGTTACAACTACTCCTAAAAGACAAATTTAAGAAGAATATACAGTGAATTTAGCAGAAAAGTTATCTGAAGTGTTACAGATTTGGGGGGTTGGAAATTAACTCCTATAGTTGAAATAATAAGAAAGACCTTGCATAATGAATGGGTTTGGAAAGGTCATAATTATCACTAGTTAAGCTTGAAGCAAGACAAACCTGTGACAGAATAAGAACAAAGGTGATCACAGGATCAGTACTGTGAAAAAAAGGAGGACAATAGTGCAATAAGCAGAGGACATGGTGGACAGACACCAAGGAAGAGCTGCAAAGAATCTCAGATATTACTGCGAGATGGAAACATGCACATGGGAAACTTGTGGGTGCACTACAGCAACAGAACCCATCTCAGCAGAGAAAACCACAAATTGTAGGCCCTTTGTATAGTTTGTGCTTTTAATCAGCTAGTAAAAGGTATAAAGCAGGACTCTCTCATTCACTATTTAATATTACTAGAAAAATCAAACTCTTTAAGCAGAACTGTGACGTTCTTTAACAGTGAAGAAAACTTCCAAGAAAACCTGAATATTTAATGTTTAGTTATAACAGAGAATAAGCAGTGAGCACATCAAGCTATGACTGCATTACAGTGCTGCAACTAGTACTATCTGTAATAGTGCAAAAATCCCATTTCAGTTTCCTCTGCTCTAATCTGAGGCAGTACCAATTTCCTTCTGCATCCAAAGACTACAAGGGTTAGGCACATTTAACACATGGTTAACTTCATGCTAACATCAAGTTACCTTCTTTAACTTGTTTGTCTCAAAGTGTGCAGAGCAATAACATTTTTAAGTATAAAATATGTTACTAGAGTTCTCCGAGTAGCACAGAGGAACTTTCAATTCTTCCCAAACTTATTTGGATCCCAACAACTGCTACATTACAAGTTGTCTTCTTCTAAAGTTTTTCATGATACAGACTAAGGACCTGACTGTGACTGAGTTTATATTGTTGTTATCTGCCAGCTCCCAGTTCCGGACTATAAGGTGTTACCTAGAAATTCACTTGGATGACAGCAGAGAGGATGTCCTGGTTTTGGTTGGGTTAGTTTTCTTCCTAGCAGCTGGCATAGTGCTATGTTTTGGATTTAGGTTGAGAATAATGTTGATAACACACTAATATTTTAGTTGTTGTTAAGCAGTCATGGGCTTTTCAGCTTCTCATACTGGCCTGTCAACAAGAAGGGAAGGGGGCACTCAAGTACCTGGGAAGGGACACAGTTGGGACAGCTGATCCCAAGTGACCAAAGGGATATTCCATACCATATGAAGTCATGGTCAGCATATAAAGCTGGGGGAAAGAGGAAGGGGGGCATTTTCAGACTTAGGGTGTTTTGTCTTCCCAAGTAACCATTATGCATGATGGAGTCCTGCTTTCCTGGAGATGGCTGAACACCTGCCTGCTGATGGGGAATGAATTCTTTGTTTTGCTTTGCTTGCATGTGAGGGTTTTACTTTACTTATTAAGTTGACTTTATCTCAATCCACAAGTTTTCTCACTTTTCCGATTCTCTGATCCTCTCTCCCATCTCACCAGCTGTGGGAGAGGAAGGGGGAGAGGGGACAGAGCCTGGTGAGCAAGTAGCTACGTGGTCCTACTGGCTGACTGGGGTTAAAACCACAACAGACAAGATCAGACGACACAGGTTCCTCAGGAGTGGGAAACAGTAGCCTATTCCCATCCTTCATTATTAAAACAAAAGAAACTCATAATATGATTTCCCTAGAATTGGAATTCGTTGGTAATTTCACTTAACAATACCTTATTCACTTCACATAAATTCAACAAAAAACCACCAGAAATTCAATTTCTGTGTGGCTGCACAACTTACCTCAGGTGAATAGTTACTACAACTATATGATTTCTACAAGAACTATACTTACCATGATCCCTTCAAAAACCTCAAGGACCCAGCCCCTTCTTAGCTACATACAATCTCCTCACCTTTTTTTTTTTTAAACTCAGGTTAAGACCACATCAATAATAATCCACAAGTGTAACATACCATTCTCTTTCAAGAATTTAAGAGCATCTGAATATCCTTGCTCACAGATCTCTCCTAGTACCTGCAAGCACAGGGTAAATGAGTCAGACAAATAAAAGGAGATTCGACTTAAGATCAACAGTTTGCAGTACAAAAAGCCACTTCTACCCACCCTCCATTCTTCTAATAAAAAAAAATACATTAACAATTGCTATAATTCAACAGATTCAGATTAATATGCCTACTGTGATGACGCAGACGTGATCATGCACACATGAACTTATCTTTCAGCTATTACAGATACACTGCATTATTCACCTAAAAGGACAGCATTCTAACAGTCTGCAAGAATTTCCTCCCGTTTTGTTTCTTTGACTAGCCTTCCAGCAGATGCAAGCAACAAAGAAACAGGGTAGCCTGGAGTATACCAACTCCCCTCCCTCCCAGTGCTTCCCGCTTCCCAAAACTAGGAAAAGTCAGCTGTGCAATTCTCATGCTCAGACTTAGTCTTCCACATGAAAACATCTTTCACCAGATGCAACACCAGCTCACCTACACAGTAGTCCTAGACAGAAAAAAATAAAAAAAAATTAAAGCCTACATAAGTAGAATTGAACATTTTTCTTCAAGTGGTCAAAAAGCCCTCAATTAAAAAAATATATCTATAGCAGTCAGGAACATTACTTCTCCTCTGTAGTATATCCCAAGACAGTTGGCAATTCAAGACATTTTCCTTAGCAGATCTGCAATTAACAGCACTTAGCAAAGTTTAAAGGCAACTTGAAGTATTAATTGAAACATGAAGTATTTAAATTTTTTGCAACATGAAATACTAATTGAAAACTTTACAAAACCATGAAGCTTTAGAACTTCTAAGTTCTGAAGCACCTGGTTAGCAGGTAAACATGCAGGGACCACAAACCGACGGTTATTAATTTACCAGTGTTGGTTTTATGATAGAATTTTGTGCTAATTCCCAAATAAATACTGAAAGCCAATAGCAAGACATGCATTTTAAATCTGAGAGAGACTCAAAATAAGGAGAATAATGACAAACTATGAAAAAAAATAAACAAGAAGAGAAGTGTTACCGGAAAAATTTATATGACTAGATGAAATGCTAAGAATACAATAGCTTTCTGCAAAAACAAGGCTACTAACTACATGAAGGCAGTGAGCTACCTTAGGTTCCGGTGGAAAGAGCGCTTGCGTTAAGCGATACAGGTTCCCCAAACTGAGCTGAATGCTGGTGTTGGTCACGTTCATTTCATGAAAGTTGGCAGAATTCCCCTTTGGACAGATATCACACTCCCCAGCAAAAGGCGAAACCGTGATGGTATTCTTAGATTCATAGTGAGGTAAGTTGTCACTGATTCCTCCGTCCACATAGCGCTACAAAAATTAACAGAAAGAGGAAGTTGTAATGGCTGAGTATTTCTAACTAGCAGATTTTCCATGCAAGAATTAAATAGTACTGAAGGCTGTAACAGAACAGTCTCTGCCTGTGCTCCCAGCCTAAACATTTTAAGTAACATGCTTTGTCCTCTAATGCCAGTTACAAAACATTCCTACCTATAGTTCCATAGATAGCCTAAGATTACTCTATTTGGGATTTTTCTCTCTAATAAAGAACAAGTCCATTTTAAAGATCATAATGCTACACAACATGCAGGGGAAAAGTAGCACAGCTGTCTCCTCTTCTTCAAGGGACAGCACCAACCAAAGAGCTACCAGAGTACTTCCTTAGAAAGAGCACAAGTAAAGAACAGCTCTACACTTCAAAGCTCAAGTTCCATAATACTAAACCATTCAGTTAGAGTTATTTTAAGTTACTCTTAGTGATTAGAATTTGATATCAAAGCATCAAAAATATTTGGACATAATGAAACTGCAAGTAGAAGTGGACAATGCTTCAGGAACCTTGCCCACAGTCATGGATATCTATTCTGCTTTGAGTGCAAGTTTAGAAGCTGTTCCAGATTATGCTTTTGTCTCCTTCGTGCTGAGTTGCCTCTTTCTGTGGTTTTAGTGCATCATCATCTCAGACATATTAAGATCCAAGAACTGAGGAGTTCTGTATCGGGGTAACTGATCTATAGTGCAGCAGCTACTGTGGCTAAAGACAACACCTCCATTGGCTCACAACAGCCATCCTTCCAGTGGGGCCAGTTGTAGCTAGTTTGTTCTGACACTGGCAAAAGGCCACCAGCTTTGCTGGTTTAGTGGCTGCATTTTCCTCCTCCCTAACTAGGCAACAAACATAACCTGTAGGTCCTTGTAAATTGTAAATGTAATAGAGTGAGTGATTTAAGCAGGAGCCATCTGCGGGATCAATTTCATCTGCCTTGATACTCACTCCCTGACCATTCTGAGAAACAAGTTCAGAGGACAGGTCAGAACAATTTATCCAACATACTCTTCTAGAGCAGCCTGTTCCTACCTGTCAGCTTTCTTGGACGCTCTTTAGACCCAGCAGCATGCAGCTACTGACCAAATTCCTGTAGGTGTGTAACATCATCACTAAAGGACATGGGCAATCACTAAATTCTTTGTGGAAGTAGCAAGTACAATAGAAGAGGTTTGGCAAAGAAGGAGCCATAGCATGCAGCCTTCTCTTGAAATTACTGCAAGGTGGAAGTACTCATTCTTGTCACTGCTCTACAGAGGTAAATTGTTTTAATTATTTGGAGTTACTGCTTATCTGTTCCCCCTAATAAATTTTTATCTAAAACCATTGCTGTGTTTAAAAGTATTAAAAAAAAAAAACAAAAACCAACCACAAAACAAACCAAACCAAACCCAGCACACCCAAAAGCTTCACAACTGGCAGTTAGATATACCTATTGAAAGTTATCCCTAAGTCTTTGTTTTAAAGTATACATGCATAAAGCACCACAACAGTAAGCAGCAGGATGCTACAAAGTTTACATTCTTGACATTCTACTGTGTTGAAGCACTACAGGAGTAACATGAAGCATAAGCAGCTTTGGTATTCTTACCAAGTTACATCAAAAATGCCTCCCAAGCATTAAAATCTCATCGAAATAATCACAAAGATCAAAAAGATACAATGATTCCTTCCTTCCCTCCGAACAGGCCCAAATAAAGCATCACTTGTATGTTTTTGTACTCTGAACTAAGCCTTTTAAAGTAACATTGTTGTCTGATGGCAAGAACTGAATAGCCAGATTAGCCTGGATCCACCTAAACCTTGGATTCAGTCCAACGTCCTGTTTTCATAACACCTTTAATCTGGAAGAGTTTAAGGAGACACACAAGGTTTAGAAGTACAGATAAAGAAAAAATCCCTATACCGTTCTAATCACTTTTGCTTAAATTTCAGCATGAAGAAAGAAACACATTTCATGCCTATCCTTAACCTTTTAGCACTTCCAAACTGCCTTGAGAACAGTCTGTAATCAACCATTGTTAAAGACATTTTGAGTTTTCTTTCAGTATTCTTTCCCTTTCCTTGTGTAAGGAGCACCAAAATCGGAAGGAAAGCAAATATAAGTTAATACAACACTGTAACAGAAAGCCATGAATGTCACTGCCTCGATTTTGAAATGCATGTTTGCTTCTAGACTTGTTAATCAAAACATGTCTAAGTTATGCCAACTTTTCTGCAGTTCTTACCCCTTTAACGGGGGATTTTAGAAAATCCAGTATAGCCACGAAGTATTAAGAGGTTTTGTAACCAACAGTTCCTGTGAAGTAACAGAACAGATCAATATACTGACACTTTACCTTTAGAAAGCAACCTTTCTTACACTGAATACAAGTGACAGAAGACATTAAAAAGCTCTGATTATAATATCTAACTGCACATGGAACTTTAATCCAGTTTTAAGGCACATCTCCCTACAGCAAGAACACAAAGATATACAGTAAACTATCTTACTTTTTTTAAACAAAAAAGTGTAAGCGACCCTTCCTATAAATTGGTGCAGGTGAATAAGCATCACTTTCTTCAACAAGACTTTTTTTAAACAAACAAGTGTAAGCGACCCTTCCTATAAATTTGTGCAGGTGAATAAGCATCACTTTCTTCAACAAATATTTATCCTTAAGTTAAATACTTACTAGCTTAGAAAACCATGTTTTATTTACTGCATCAGCAAGCAAGAAATCTAAGAGAGCACGCACACCTGTGTGTATTTTGCAGGGTGGAGAAGAAATATACATAACAGATCTTCCACATATTTAGTATTTCCTTGCTTTTTTGAAAAGTTGTAACATGCAGCTAGAGGACTAGAAGCTATGATGAAGGTATTTATTTTACAGTAGAATAACCAAAAAAACATACACATTGTCTCCTAATATTTTCAGAATAGCTAGAACAATTTTTAGTTCTTAACAGTGAGACTTACCACACCTCTAAACGACGGTGGAATTAGGCCACAATAAATAGGGACAAATGAACTACAGATTAAAGCCTGGAGGAAAATGAGACCATATAAATTAAATGGTAACTGTTCTATTATTGAAATGATCATTTATCTCTTTAGATGTTAGCAAAAACAACAAAGCAAGCAACCAAAACAATCCCCAGCAACTATATATAAATAAAAAGGAGGGGGGGGGGAAAGGCATTATTTTAAAAAGGATGAGGGTATTCCATTTTTTTTTCAGAATGTAACCACACTCCATCTAAAAATAATAGTAAGGCTGACTGAAAGACCATTTCTAGAAAAGCTAATTAGCAAGGAAAAGTTCATGATCATTCATTCAAGGTATACATTTTCTGAGCAACCAAAGTACCTAACTGGGGACACAAATACAAGCATTCTAGGATCATATTAAACTAGCTTTGTAACTGATATTAAAAATTTAAAAAAGCTATTTCTGACTGTTTCTTGATCATGGCTTTTAGAAGAATTATCTTTAAAATACTGCCAAAGCCACAATATCCTAAAATGTTTAAAATGGAAATCCAATGGATGATGTTAAATGGATTTAAGATTACAGAAACTTTTAACAGTTGGCAGAAATAAACATACCTGGACAACTTCTTCTTTAGAGTTAAAATTAGATATCAATGCGTTTTTGCCATCTGACACTCTGGTTAATGAAATACACAGTCTGCCCGATGACAACTGGTGAGTATTTTCTGGAAGATTTCTCATCAGTCCATCTCTTATTATCTTTATCACATTAAAGGAAGGATGAAGAGGACCAAGATTTCGCTTCCTGGCTTCTTTGGCTAATGCCAGAACATCTGCACAAGCTTGAGCTGAAAATAAAATGCATTTCATTTAAGAACAGAAGGTATGTCAAAACCCAACAAACACACTTCCAGTAATAAAGCATGTCTAGAGCTCCGACTTTTCTCTTTGCTAGCATGAAAATTCGAGAGCTTTTTAACAGATAAAATAACTGTCCACTAGAGTTTAACAGAGTTTAGGAGTTTTCTGAGGAAAAATATAGTTTGGGCTTTCAAATAGATTTCCTGTTTTGAACTTCCCACCATGTTACTTATGTGTTATTTATATGTAGGCTGTAGGTGTAAAATACCCATATAACATGCTTCCATTAGGAATCATTCAGTCCAGAAACATGTTCTTTAAAGGAATCATTCAATCCAGAAACATGTTCTTTAAGAAAAAATAAAGATGAATGATCTTCTGTAAGCACGTACGCATGGACATATTCCATATGCAACATCCATACAAACCCACAATGTATGATGCACAGTTTTAAGGTCCACAGTATGTCTGCTGAAGAAGCAGAGCACCTGGGTTCATCACCACTAGTAACACTTGCTGAACATTAACCAAATGTAAGGTTTCAGGGCACCATTTATATACAAACATAATAAAGGCAACATTAGATGTGAACTTATGCTAAGGAGCCTCAGAAGGGAAGGTTTTTAAGCAGCGGGTAAGGAATGTGAAAGAGATCTGTAACACCTCCCACATGTAAATAGATGCAATATGTAACAGACATATAATAATTTTTTTGTCCAATTAAATCAGCATTTGGGAACTAGATCAAAACGCTACAGAAGACACGATTTGTTCTTTGGAACACCAAGATCACACATAGTAAGCTCATAGTAAGAACAGCAGCTCATCCAACTGCAATGTTTTGTTTGAATTTTTAATGTCATGTTTCTCCAGGGCATACTTTGAGGAAACTGCCCGATAAGCTTGTCAACTTGGTAAAGGAAAGGGGGTGGGGAGGAAGGTCAAAGTAACAGGTTATTGACCTGAGTGATATGCTACAAGGCCATCTAAAAATATTTCCAGAACTTGCATATTTTAACTCACAAAGAAGCTTTCTTGAATAGATAGGATTCAACGTATCAAGTTAATGTGAGCACTACACTGGAAACGACTTTGCTTAGCCTGTGAGTCCAGATTAATTTACAAAAATATTTTTTACAATATTATTTTTCCCCCTCAAATAGCAATGTCTAAACCTTTCTCGTTCTTAGCACAGTAAACCAAGAGTCTATGTTTGAAAGGCTAAGTCTAAAAAATTCTGAGACACAGCCCACTTTTACCACTTCAGTTTTTTTTTCATTCCACCCTTACAGAGCAAAGCCTTGGGCCACGCATCCCCTGATACCAGTGGCCTGACCCTGCCTCCACCAAGAGGATAGCAAACAATTTAGACACAGTTCACCGTTAAGCAAATATATGTTTATGTTAGTAAAACACATCTTACATGCAATTAAAAAAGAGGCACAAGGCACATTCTAGCAAGTGAAGTTGTTATTTCCAAAAGTAGTTATGCAGACAGTTTTATCAGTTCTAATTTTTACGCAGATATAAATTACCACCTCCCTTTTTTTTTTTAATAAACTAATTTAGCCAAGTTTAATTTTCTAAACTTTCTAAAGAGAGAAATCAGGCACGTTGCAGGACTTTGAGATACTAAACTACTAGAACTCTGTCCAGGAACAGCAGTCTTAGTTCATGCATTAATTTCCCTTTGCAAACTAAGTACCTTTTTGAAAACTTATGCACCAAGCAAGTAAATTGCTTGTTCTAAAAAAACAGAGCAAGAGCACTGGGTACCTGGACATACAAGGAAATAAATACAGACGCTTTCACCTCTCTGCCAGATCTTGACCCTGTTTTTCTAGGTAGCATCCTGTGAAACTGAAGCTCAGGCTATTTGCACTACAGTCCTGTTTCTGCAGGAAAAAAAATGAAGTAAACCAGTGACCTCTACTAATGATGTAGTTCTGATTATATACCTCTCACTGTAAAAAAAGTCAGGCAAGTATCAGTTCACTTTACATACTCCATTAAAGGCATGCCAAACTGATCATCTCTAACAGTTTAGATTTGAGCTTCTCTCATTTCAACTTCCTGTCAGAAAATAACTACCCATCAAATTGGAATTTGATTTCACACTTTACTCTTATATAAGAATCTCTATATTTGAGGTAGTCTATAGGGGGGAAAAGAAAAACCAAGTTTACTTATTTTGTTTATTGGAATTTTAAATATGAGAAGAGCTCCTAAGCAGAAAAAGAGAACATGCTGTGAATATCCAAGAGTATGTGATATTAAAACACTAAAAATTTTAAAAGCTGTTCATTATTAATTCAACAGACTTCAAAGTACTCCAACTTTTTTTTCCTTCTCCCTTTCTTCCTCCACAGGGCAAAAATGCAGTTACCTCTTAGGCTGATGTATTCCAAAATGGGATCTTCTCCTCCCATGACAACAGAAAGGGACAGAGGGCTAGAGCTCAAGTCAGACTGGGATTTTAGGCAGAACCTGGTACCTCTGTTTTATTTTTTGAAACGTTAAGAGAGCTAAAGAAATTAATGTTCCTATTAAATGTGAACTGTTTCCAGTTATATTTCTATATTCTGTTATAGATTTATATTCCTGTTTTTAATGATTAAACAACTATTAATTCCTTTCCCACAGAGTAAAACCTGACATTGTATTTACAGCCCCCACCAAACCTGTTCTCTTTAGTGCCCCACTAGAATGGGCAACCACATGGCCACTGAAACATGGGGTGCCCTAGACATCCATGGGAAAGATCTAACAAGAGGAGTGGACCTTAACAGTTCCAGTTTGGAATAGCCTGGAATGCACTTCATCCTCAAAAGAAGAGTCACCTCTAAGCTCCTCCCTCCATCCTCCCCAAAATACAACGAAGGAAGCTTCTTCCTCAGTATGTAAAAGTACACTTTTTTTCCATTCAATGGCTAAAGTGTATGTTGGTGCTGGTTTTGAACTGTCTTACCACACACCCAAGTGGTTTTTTTGGTTGGTTGGTTTGGTTGTTTGGTGGTTTTTTTTTGGCAGGGGGTGTTGGTTTTTTGTAAGTTTGCAGGAAAAGTTTGGTTTTTTTTTGGCAGGGGGTGGGGGCAGGAGGTGTTGGTTTTTTGTAAGTTTGCAGGAAAAAATACACTTGCCTGTGAAATACAATAACTTGGGCAGTGACCACACACATACTAGCTATCCTATTAGTTAGAGAAAAGCAGAAATCTCAGTTGGCATATGAGAAAGGAAAGACAAGAGAATAATTTGAAGTCTGCTAGTCTCAACTATGAAAATGCCACAAATTTTAAAATATGTCATTAACATACTTTCAGGTAAACAATATACAATTTTTTGTGCTCAAAAGCACTTCAAATATTTAAAGCAGCTTTCTTAAATCGCTTACAATGACTTAAGACTTAAACTTGGATATAGGCTAAAAATAAATAGCTATTGTGCATAGATATGATTTGTTTTAAAAGCTCACATTAGGTTCATAGTAACTCAAGTGTGTTACGTTAGGACATCACAGCAAAATTAAATCAAAAGTTTAAGGAACATAAGTTTACTGCTAAAGCTTTGAAGAAATAAAGCCTACGTGACAGATCAGTGGCTAAGCAGCAGGGACAAGCATTTTACAGCATTGTGCTCTTGCACGTACAGGGAACTCCTGTTCATTTTAGCCAGTGAATTGTTCCCTCAAATTTAAAGCAAAACCCAAACCCTCTCCAAATTCAAAATAAGCATTCATTATTTTCCTCCTCCATCTATACATAGGATGAAAGGTGAACTTACAAAACCTTCTAGTTATAAATCCATTAAGGGTACCATTAACAAAAACAATCAGTGTTAAGTCATGAACTAGACAAACTTTTATTCAGTTAATTACTTTGGTTTAAATGAAAAACCACTTTTAGATTTCCAGATACTTCATATGCTTTTTTAACTAAATTCCAGTCACTATCCTAAACACCTTGATATTTTACTTGTATCAAGCTTCTTTTAATGCCTAGCATGTCTGATTCACTAGATAAATGTATATCTGGGTTCTGATGAACCTTAAATATGTAAAGGCATGCCTTTCCTGTTGCTAGAAAATAAGTGCTTGTTTCATACAAGAGACTATATTTGGCTGCAAACTAACATCTTTTATCAGTATAAATAAAAAAACCCAAGATGAATTATATTACTTAAATCACAATTAAAATCAGTGATTTTAATCAATCTACTGTTTCTAATCATATACCTAAGCGACCTATGCAATACATACTGTGCACAGATCAAAGAAGAAAAGCATGTTAAAGCTAACCTAAGCCCTTACCTTAACTCTTAGCCTTGCCTCAAGAAAGGAGAGCCTTTAGAGGAAGTAAGTTAAAGCTAACTGCAACTTCATTGTGCAAAGGCAAACTATAGAAGAGATGCACTTTTTCCCCCAATAAATATTTTGTTTCCAAACTGATGACAAGGTTAGTCTGCTTGCTTTTAAGGGTGATAGGATTTAGCTACCTCCCGTTCTCCCAACGGTGTTCAATTCCTCTACTTTGCACAAAGGCAAGAGCGCTCATCATCTACCCGGTATTTGCAATTCTGAAGACAGGAGGTATACGAATTCCTTAGACAGACACACAGCTGTCCCTCTGCCTGGGGGAGTTAACTCCGGCCACTTGACTACGTTAAGTGCTGAAATCAAATGAGGCATCGGCAAGACCATTTCTTGAGCCCGGGAGGTTGCCAAATATGCATCCAAGGGGAGGACACGCTACCTTTGCCACCTGCCTCTTCCCCCACCCTCAAGGAAACGCACCGTATCTATGTATTTTACTCGGAGGTAAGGGGATACGTAGGGGATGAGAGGTAAAGGAATCAGGATCACTGAACGATACGGGGTTGAAAGGGACCTCTGGAGATCATCTAGCCCAGGAAGAGAAATAAAGACAGCCCCGCACCTACAGGGCCACATAACCCGCTCAGCTTTAATTTCATAAAAGGGGTTATGTTCATCTCTGGGGACAGAAAACGAGCAAGAAGAAGAAAAAAACAAGAGCCAGCCCCTCAGGGAAGGGCAGCCCAGCCCAGCCGTTGCCGCTGAGGCGGCCTGAGCCGCTCCCCGGGGCCGGGGCCGAGCCGCAGCCGCCTTCAACCGCCGCAACGGCAGCCGGCCCGACCCGCCGCACCTGCCCCTTCCCGTAGCCCTAAACATTTCTCTGCTCAAATCTCCTGGAAGACTTAAATGCATCCCAACACATCCAGGCAGGGTTTAGCTCCCTGGAAAAGGTGCAGGCCGCCAGATGCCCCGCCGCCGGGAGCCGCAGAACGGAGCCGCTGACCCAGAGAGCCGCCTCCGACGAGGACGGCGCCGGCCAGCGCCCCTGCGGAGGCGCCGTAGATGTGCCGGGCGTCGCGGATGACGTGCGGGGCGCGCTCCTGCAGGCAGGTGGCGGCCCCGATGTGGTAGACGCCCAGGAAGCCGCAGCCGGCGAACGAGACGCTCCAGCCGCGCTCGCGGTCCAGCATCATCGCCGGCGGGGGCGCGCGGGCGGGCCGCACAAGACACCGCCGAGACCAGCCGCTACTCCGCGACTGGGGCGAGCGCGGCGGGGCCCTCCCGCGCCTTACATGGCGGCCGCGCCCTAGGCCCCAGCGGCAGCCAATCCCGCGCTCCTCCTCGCCCCGCCCCGGTGGCCCAAGGTGCCCCCAGCCAATCCAAGGGGCGGATGCAAATGAGGCCACGCCCCTCCGTCTCGCCCCCACCCGCGCGCTCGTCACAGGGAGGGCGCGCGCCGTGACCAGCGCCCTGAGGGAGGTTCGGAGGGGTCCCTCGGCCGCCTCAGCGCCCCCCATCGCCCCGGGCGGCCTCCGCCGGACCCCCCCGGCACCGGCACCCACATCTCCGCCTCGCAACCTCCCAGGGAATCGGTGCCGCGGGGCTGGTCCCGCACAGCCCACCCGCAGCCGAACGCTCGGGTGATAACGCCTTGAGTTTTCGGTAAGAGAGGAGAGCGGCCCTAGGGTCTGCCCCGGCTTCCAGTCACGGGGTGGTGGCAGGGGGATACAGGGGCTGGTTTAGCAATTAGCCTGATTATCCAAGGCTGGGAGGAATTGATCATGCTAGCGCGTACCAGTCGTTTGTACTTCGTGACCTGCTGTAAAAGCAAGCGCTGTTTAATAATCCGGCAATAAATCTTAAGAAAATGGTTAATACTAGGCTTACAAAGGGAAGGATTGTAGAATAATCTGCTTTTATTCTGAGTATCTCGAACCATTAACTTACACGGTTTTGTGTTCGTGTTCTACCAATGTTTTACAGAGAGAATCACAGAATCACAGAATCTTCTAGGTTGGAAGGGACCTTAAAGATCATCTTGTCCAACCGTCAACCTAACTGACAAAAATAGACACCCACACAACAAACAGGGAGCATCATCACTAAACCATACCTCCCAGAAGTACAAGCAAAGCAGCTAAACACCACTTGAAGTCTGGAACGGTGTCATCTGACAGAGCTTCAATAGCAGCCACCTGACCCGTCCCGTCAAAACCAAGCGTCAGGAGCTGATGGGCTTTTGGAGGTCTCACAATGGCATTTTTGAGCACCTGCAGACCTCCAGAAAATCTGAAGGACGCGGGCAGAGTGATTGGCACCAGCTGATTAATATGATCACTTGCGATTGCCTTTACAGGGCTGTTTAATGCAGTGTGGCATCACAAGGTCTGCCTTAGCTGCAAGCAGGCCCATAGGTTTGTTAGCCCGGTGCTGTGCCAGATCTACTCGCTGCGTAATACGCCTCTATGAACAAGGTGCCTTGTTGGTGTCAACCAGCCCCGACTCTTGCCTGCATCAGTGTAGTGAAACCATCATCCTTTCAGCTCTGCAGACTTGTTTTCCTCACCGCTAGCTCAGGTGTTTCTGACAAACGCTGCACTGCAGGCCGGAGATGAGCCCTAAACATTTCTCTGCTCAAATCTCCTGGAAGACTTAAATGCATCCCAACACATCCAGGCAGGGTTTAGCTCCCTGGAAAAGGTGCTGGTTTCCTCTAAAAGTTTTAAGAGGAACTGGTATTTGGATGTGACTCCTCTCCATCACCACAAATCCCAGAGGTTCCATTAGGCTTTCTGCTGTAATGCTGGTGGAGATCGAGTGGCTCAGAAGGGGATTCACAACAATTACCTTGCCCAGCAGGGAGTTTCCCAGAGCTGGACTATGAAAAAACAAAACAAAACAACCCCCAAACAAACAGAGAACAGCATGTCTGAAATCCTCTAGGATTTAATTGCCTCACTCAGGGCTGCAGAAAACCTCTTTAGCTGCTCACATGCACCATCACACCCTAACAATGGGATTTAAAAACATCTCAAAAG